TTTTGGAAGTCTTCATTTGGAATTATTTTTAGCGTCAATTTTTAAGTTGCAACAAAAACATCAGAAATATCACCTGAATATCAGCATAATACTAGAGTGAGGGAAGGCTATTTTTTTTAAATTGCTTGCTTCCTTTTCATTATCCAGTTGGACTCTTTGTTATTTTGAGCTCTTTCCCCAGACTGAATTTTCCCTCGAAGGAAGCAGTTGGGCAATCACTGAGGTCCCTTATGAGAAGGTGACATGGTGTTGATAGACCCATTAGGGCCATGAGCCCCTTCTGTACACTTTAATAGGCACTGGAGGGACTTCTGTTTTTGGCAGTTTATCAAAACTCCACAAGAGTAGAAAAAAATCCTACAGACTTTGTGTACAGTTGGTGCTCATTATGTTGTCCTTTATCTCCTCTAGCTGAGCATCCACTCGGAGCTTGGATGGAATTTCTCCCGATACCTCGGGCACACCAAAAGAAGGGGAGACTATGTCACCAACAGCTTCTAGACAGCATATAGGTCCCAGCCACCTAGCCCTGTGTCCCCACTCTAATTTTTCCTTCTTTTCTTTCCTATAAATTTTCCTACTGAAATTGGTAGCACTTAACCATTAGAAAATATTTTCTTTACCTTTCTCTACTTTCCCACTAGCTTCCATCTTCATCTCTCCCCACCCTTAAAAAAAAATTAAACACAGAACATACCTGCCTAAGTGAATAACAAATTAAAAATTGCTAACGTCCATGAAGAGAAAGGAAAAGCTCAGCTGAACTCGAAATGGAATGATTTCAGTCAGTCAACAGTATCTAAGGTAGACAGATCTTGTAAGAGGTATATTGGGGTGAAGGGGGACAGTAATACAAAAGAAAGCCCTTGGGACCTCAGAGAACCTGGGACAAGTGACTGTAGCTTGTAGGGTCAGGGCTGATGGGGACGGGGTGCTACAAATTTATAAATGATTGGGCTTTGAGATCTCAAAGGGGCCCAAGGCCAACTATGAAGCCTAGCAATAAAAATCTCATGTAAAAGTATTTTTCACCGACGTGTGAACCCGCTCTTGTCGGCCCTGTGTAAAGTTAGCCCTCTTGTGTCCAAGCTGCTAGTCTGGCCAGATGGCGGATAGCCTTGGTTTTCCTCTGGGCTTGCACTTGACACCGCTTGTGCCCTTCCCTCTGGTCGCAACAGCAAAGTGGCACCACATCAATCTACAGCAGCAATCACAACAAAGCAAGAACCCTTCCTTCCTCCAGTTGTACAGTGAAGGAAACCTAATCCCCACCTTGCGACATTTGATGACGTGTGTGAAGGTTTTCTTTTTCTAGTCCTAGGAGAGAAAATGGAGGCTTTGTGAAACTACAAATTATAACAAGCTGGTAATTTATGTGTAAGAAATTTTTTTGTTGCTGTTGTGGCATGAGAATTTAAAACAATCTTAGAATACAAATTTGATCTTGGAATACAAATGAAGTAAACAGTGTTTGGCAGGAGGCACCCGTACCAAAAAGGGGGTGGGGGGTGATGGGACTTACTGTTTAATGCTGAATTCCTTTGACGGATCAAACGCTCACATGCCCCCAGGGCCAGGCAGGGCTTCTCAGGGAGGGGAGCTGAAGAAGGGGAGCTGGTGAACTGGGAGCACATGCCTGTCCATGAGGCAGCTTAGCTCCAGCCAATTGTTGTCATGGGGAATGCGGATCTGTGTTGGCCAGAGCCTCAGATATTTTTAAAGCAAAGCCAGAAATCCAGAATTTTATGTGAAATCACCCAAGGTCTACAAATTGGCAACTCACTCCATTTTTTAAAAAACACTGCTAGGGCCAGACACATCACATCTGTGGGCCAGACTCTGCTCATGGGCCTCCGGTGTGTGCCCTCTGTAGCTGTGTATTCCCTTAGAGCATGTGGTCAGGAAAGAGGACCCGCTGGTTTCCATTGTGGGCTGGCGTGGGGGACGCAGGATGGTGCCACTAGAGCAGGATGAGAAAACCACCGGCAGCCTGGCTCAGTTTCCTTATCATGTTGGATGATTTTCAGCCCCTGCTCCCAGCTGACCTCATCCCTTCCACCATTCCTCAGGAGGGAGTGCCCATGCATGCCGGGTGCCCCATGCAAGGGCAGATGTGGAGGCAATGTAATGACCCCTGGGACAGCTGTGGTCTCACTCTCTACTGAAAAGGAGCAATGAATATCGGGAATGTGGCCGGGTTGGTGAACCATGGGGATTTCTACACTTTATAACTGAGGAGGTAACACTTCTAAAGTGGCACCTTGAAAGAGGGAAACCCTGAAACCTGACAAGAGGAATTGGGTGGTAGAGAGAATAAGGCATCGTAAGGAGATGGACGCATGTGGAAGCCCATTAGGAGGAGAGGAGGGTCCTGGACTCCTTGGGCCCCTTCATCTGAGGCTGGACCACCCAGCCCACTGAGATAAATATGGGCAGTGGCCAAGCTCTTCCCGTCATGAGCTGGAACTGTTGTAACTCTTGTGTTCTGGCCTGTGGAATAAAGAATCTCACTACCATCTCCAAGTCTAACCAGGAAAATCGTCTGCTTCAGTGTCATGCTTTATATTATCCACTGGCTATGTCCTGTTAGAATAGCTGAACTAGAGTGGATATTGCTGAATATATCATCAGAACACCTCAAACAGGGGCTCGATGAGTACTTGTGAATTTGCTTCATTAAGACGTGTCCATGTGTATTTTATATTTAGTCTGTATGTCTTATATTTAAAGATGTGCTCGATCCCCAGTCTTGAAACATGTTTTCCTGATTCATTTCCTCATGAATCCATGCTTCTGGTGATATTGTTTTTGTCTGCACCCCATCCTGACACCCACTATCATCTTGTGTTCACCAAGACCACGGGAATAGAATCTATAGGTGAACAATTCAACCTGGAGTACAGATGTAGTGAAAAGAAACTAGATTCGAAGAAAGTCTGTCAGCTGACGAGCTAGAATCCAAATAGTCTGGATTGTCTCAGAATCCACCAGAATGGAAGAGGAAGTTATTTTGTGTAATTTGCAAGTATGAATGTGCATTATTTTCCTCTGAAAATCTTTGTGAGGATTAGAGGAAAGGTGACATATTTTTGTACCAAGCAATTTGCTTAAGAACCTCTTTTTAGATTTCTGTAAATAATAAAATTTCTAGATATATTTAGAGAGAGAGAGAGAGAGAGAAAATATATAACAAATACAATAATAGATATTTAAATATATAATAACACATATCAATATTTATTATTTATTGGTATGATTAATATTGTATAATTATTAATATGGTAATAAATAATTTTATATATAATATGTAACCTTGATATATAATATTATATATAACAAATAAATTGATTTTCTCTTCATTTTAAACCTTAATGTGATTTCAGAAGAAATCACTTTTTTTTTTTTTTTTTTTAGAGAGGGAGAGAGGGGAGGAAGGGGCAGAAAGAGAATCTTAAGCAGTCTCCAAGCCCGATGTGGAGCCTGACACAGGGCTCGATCTCACAACCCTGAGATCATGACCTGAGCCAAAATCAGGAGTCAGACACTCAACTGACTGAGCCACTCAGGCGCCCCCAGAAGAAATTTTAATATTTATTCTAAATGGATAATCTCATTTGAACATGGTAGTAGGCTCCCAATTCTTTCTTGGTTCAACCCTGTATGCACTATAATTAAAAATATGTAAAAATGGTATATGCATGTGGGATGAGAAGGAGAGGAAACACTGGAAATTAAATCAACTGATGGTTTTGAGGTATGGGTGGCAAGTGATTTTTTTTCCCCATTTATTGTAATTAAGCAATTTGTGTAGCTTAAAAAAAGAAAAGTTCTCAAAATGGGAAAGCAAGGCCTCCAGAGTAAGAGTTTCGTTTTCAAAAAGAGTCATTTTTACACTCTTGATCTTACATTACTTAAACCCCCTTTCCTCATTAATTAAACCCATTTTCATCAACCTAGACTTATTTTCACTTCCCAATAATGTATTCCTTAGTCTTCTTATTTCTTGGCTTCATCAAGATAACCCCTTGATTAGAGAACCGAAAGAGGAGAGAATACATTATTTCAGCGGCTCAAGTCTGAATACATAGGACAGTTTCTATAATAAGAAAGACAAGTAAAAAAAAAAAAAATAAGACAAGTTCCGGGAAAGGGGATCTCGTTTGCTCTCAGAGTCGGCTCTGCGGGAGACGCTGTGCGCTCAGGCACTACCCGGAGATCTATATTTCTGTTCTTGACATCTGTAGGTACCACTGCCACCGCCAATGGTGATGATGATAAGTGATGGGAAAGCGAACTGCGAGGTGATGTATCTTCCTTGACAGATTTAAAGGATTGCCACGGGCAGCCCCGAGGCAAGTGCTGACTGAGGACATTCTGGCGCCTGCGTCAGGTCACTGTGGCACCGTCAGGCAAAGCTGTGAGAAGCCGGAGCCAGGCGGAAACCCTGTGGTTTACATCTATGCCTGGATCCTGTTTTGGGGGAAGGGTGAACTGGACATTGTCCTCCAACGTCTGTTGGTTAGTTGGTCTCTGTCTTGTAGTTGGGTTATTTCCATGGCGAGCCAGGATTTACTGCTCCAAGCATGGCTTCCAGGGATATGCCTGCCGTAAACAGGGGAATATGGTGAATACCCTAAGATTTTGAGGCTTGCTCCCCATCCCCAAAGCCCTGCTTTCCCCCAGGGTGTGGTAAGTGCAAGGTGCGGGCTGGGTCAGTCCTAATATTGGTCCCTGGGGAAGCGGCTAACCTGAGTTACTGTCCTGGCAAAAAAAATAAGGAAACAGATGAAGCAAAGCAAAGGAACTTGGGTGCTCCCTGAGGAGCCTGAGGAGCTGAAAAGCCAGGCTGGGCCATCAAAGAGGGAACATGTGCTCCAAGGTAGCACTAGCACCCATTTACCCTGCTCGTTTTTGTTTGTTTAAATATAGATGGGAGTTTGGGTTATAAAACAGCTAACCCTTTTGCTTTTTTTTTTTTTTTTTTGCCTCTGTCTTTTCCAGGGCTTTTATAAGTATTTGACTTTACTCAAAATGTGCAAAGAGGAATAATGGAAGCGCCTGAATACCTTGATTTGGATGAGATTGACTTCAGTGATGATATATCCGTAAGTAGCCCTTCTTGCAAGTGACACTTCAGGGAATTCTGCCTTCACCTCCATGGGCCGCTTTATTGTAATCTGTATATCCTAAACTCTCCCAGTCGTACTGAGCAGTTGACAGCAGAAATCCTGTGTGGCAGACAAAGTGGGGTTTCGGGGTCTCCTGGACCAAGAAGTGAATCTCACTTGATGGTGTGTATGGTGGGGGAGGGGTTTGGCCTCACTGAGCCTCCCCTTCCTAATCTGTTTCCTTGTTGCCAAAATTATTCACTGAGTGAATGTATAAAGTGCCTGTGTATAGCACACGATTAACCCTATCAGGGATAATTCCCTTTATGTGATGGGCTTTGCCACGGCCAGCATTCTCTGGCGTTCACAAGGACACGGATGGCCAAGTTATTAACTGATGAACAATAAGAGGAATCCTCCCAATCCCTGTGGGGTCAAAGCACAGGTTGGATGCTCTGGGGGAATACTGAGAACGAGTCATGCGTTGATAAGGACTGGACCAGCTGCCCTCTGAGGGCCCTGCTTAATCCTGTAAAGCTGTGGGCCGATGAGCTGCTTCGTTCCCACGACAGCCGCCAACTTCCTGCTGCCTCCCGCTTCCCTCACGGTGGCTCTGGTGGGTCATCCGTACGTAGCCTGCGTAGAGCTGATTGTGACGTCCCCCGGGCCACACGATCAGTTCTGCCACAGAGCCAACCGGCAGCCATGTTGGCTCCTCAGCCCCCCGCCAAACTGAGCTCTCCGAGTATGTGAAGAGAAGGTTGCTGTTTCTGAGCTAGCCATCTAACTTTTCTTCCCAGCACCTCTAGGGTCACAACTTCCCACGCTATTTTCATCACTCTCTCAGGGCATGTAGCTTTGGGTCACTGCTAGAAATGGTCTCAAAAAGATAAGCTCTTTTCACACACCTCTGGCGAGGGAGTTACTTCTCTACTTCGCCATTCACTTTGAAGTAAAATTTGCATACAGTATGGCAGCACTGGATTACTAGGGCGAGTTTGATTAATGATCTGCTTTATACAACCTTGGATGAGGGCTTGTGTACCCGGGGAATGTGAATTCAGCCTCTCCCTATCCTCGCTTCCAGACAATCTTTATTAATCCTCGTTAAGACCAACGTGAAGTGACTTTCTTCCTTTCCACAGTTTCTTTTTGTCTCTTCTCTCTCTCTCTTTTTAAGCTACTATACTTAAAAGTGTTCAGAGCATGGTTCTTTCATGGCACTCACCTCGAGGTATTTTGAGCTGAGTGGGGAGAAGCAAGGAAAGAATCACGTGGGGAGGTGGAGGGAGTGTGGAAACCGTCTTAGAAGGGGAAACAGGCATTATGATGAGGAGTTGAAGGCAGCACTCTTAGCTTTGATGAAGCTGCATTTTAAGAGCACAGGCTTTGGAAGGGAGCTCCAGCCTTGCTCTGACCTTTGCTGACTACAGCACAGTAACTTCTCCTCTCCGAGATACCCACCTAACTTTTAAGGTTGTTTTGAGCATTGAGTGACCAGATAAAATACATGGAGCACTTAGCTTGGCATACAGTAAGTTGCTCTTAAAGTAGCTTGTGTTATTATTTCAGTGAATAATAGCAATAATGTTTATATGACCAACGGTGAAGAAAGAACTCAAGGGGGAAAAAAAAACAGGCATTATGTCAGGACATTTTTTTTTTTTAAATACAATAGAGTGTTTGTACTTACAGAAGAATCATCTGGCAGCAGCCTATAATTTTGATGAATTAGGGATCTCCGCTTGGAAGATAATAAAGCGCATTAGGCAATAGCTGGCACTGTTTAGCAAATCGGGGATACCAGATTATGTAAGAGGTCGTGTTTCAACAACTTGACCACTCAGAAACATAAATAAAAATTGCCCATCTGTAATTGTGTAGCTGCACTCAAGCCTTCCCCAGCCCCTTTAAATAGGTTTCTATTGTTTGGATCTTTAACCTGCCCTTACGCTTAAATCAGAAGGGAGAAAAAAAAAATGGCAGCACGTAGAAAGGTTGAAGCAGTAATGGCGCACATTTACTGAGCGCTCACTCGGGCAGAGGCATTATCTTGTTTAATCCTCAAACAATCCTGTGAGGCAGGAATTTCTCATGATCTTCGTTTTATAGATGAGCAAACCAAAGCAGGGGAGTTATTACCCATCTTGTCCAGGGCTACCCAGCTCATTGGGAGCACTCTGTCTCTGAAATATCTGCTCTGGGCCCAGTACTTGACTGACTCTCCAGATGAATATAGTCTACTGCAGTGGTCCTTGTCGGGGTTGATTTTACCCACACCCCAGGGGATCATTTGGCAATGCCTGGAGCCATTTGTGGTTGTTATGGTTGGGGAAGGGTCCCACTGGCATCTAGTAGGTAGACACCAAAGATGCTTCTGAACAACCTAAAATGCACAGGAAAATCCCCTGCAACAAAGAACTCCCTGACCTAACATGTTGGTCGTACTGAGGCTAAGCCATCCTGTATCTTTTATTAAACTACATGAAATGAAAGAAGCTCTAATATGGCAACCTCTATAACATGGCAGATTATTTTATAATAGTTCCGTCAGATCCAGGTTCAGTCCTTAAATGTGCCAGAATTGTATTGTTCTTAGATAATAACTTCTTGGGGAAAGCAGTGGTGACCTCTTTAATGTTGAAATGATTGTTCTCAGCCTCTTTAGGTAAACCAGGAGCAGTAAATGTTACAACTGCTTTAAGAGCCAAATGGAAGCTATTTGGATGCTGACATTTAAAAATGAAGATGTGTTCAACTTGTTAATTCACTGGCGTAAAAAGAATGTAGTCAGTCCCCCGTAAGCATGCCTTCACTTTTAGGATTCCATAACCTCCGTCTCTGACAGCCCTTAACGCCTCTTCCCTGGTTGAGTGACAGGAGCAGGGAAGAAAATACCCAATATATTTGAAAAAGATCGCTCACCCAAAAGATGCCCAAATTCACAACTGCCCTTCTTATTCTCTAGTTGTGGCCCTATGACGTAGTCCACGCCTTCTATCTCATGATTTTCCCCTCTAGTCATGAGGCTGGTTCTTGTTTTAATTAAAACCCGAGCTGCATATTGGTTTAAAACAGCAACTAGAACTTTTTTGCCTTTACCTAATGAGACAGAACCCAGAAGGCAATCACATTATTTTGAAGTTTCCCAGACCCCAAAATAACATTCATCCTTTGCAAACTGCAGGGTTTAAACTACACGTTCTTGTAACCCTGCCATCTCAAAGGAGAGAACACTGCCCAATCCCAGCAGGTCGGGGATGGAGATGAGGACACACACAAAACACCACAGTTCAAAGCAGGGCTTTTCTGTCTCTGCAAATGGGTTTGCAGATTTCTTTCTTTACTCCTGTGGAAGCCAGACCCCTCTCTCAAAAAAAGAAAAATGTGCCGGAATATTAGTTCTTACTAGCCATAGGTGTATTTATTTTCTTAAGAAAGGCCGTTTTGCTTTTCCCAAAAATAGTAGTAGACACAGGACCGAACAAATCAGAGGCTGAACTATAGATCTATGGAGGGACCTCACCACTAGCTCAGACGTGGGCTCTGCCATGCACGGTGCCCCACACTGTGGGTCCGGTATCTTGGTTGAAGCTTCCCATCAGCTCCTATTGTCATCCCATTTGGCACATGAAAGAAATTGAGCCTTAGGGAGATCATCTGGCTTTCACAAGGTTATAGGTACATAAGTGGCTGGGTCAGGATTTAAATACAGAACTCCATGACCACGTTACTCTTCCCCATTCTGAGCGACTTGAGAGTAGGGACTCCAGACCAGTCTGTAAGATGCCATCCGTTTCCACATTTGGTACTGACGCAATTGCAAATCACTGTTTGGAAGTAATGGAGTTGGTATGTATTCTAAATAAAATGTAAAACAAGCTGAAGCAAACATTGGCAAATCTCTTAATTTTTTTGCCCTTGGGCTTTCCCATCTGTAAAATGGTAATCATCAGCTACCTGTTGCCCTGGATTTTATGGAGAAAATATGAAATTTTATATATGTATGTATATAAATCCATACCCACATATTCATGTAATACACACATATGTATACACACATGCCTGTATGCATACACACATATACGTGTAAATACACACACACGCACACACACACACAAATGCACGCACACAGACAGAAGTGAGGATGTACTCCATTCCTCTACTCAGGAAATTTTGCCACCATTCTATACCACCATGACCACAACTTTGGTGAAAAATGACATTTTTTGACAGCCTATTTTTTGTGCAGGTCACATGAGATCAAGACAAACAAGTGTCCTTGCACTTCGCTATCCCCTTTAAGCCAACCCACAGAATTTTGTGGATTCATTTTTCTAAAGTGACTGAACCACTGTCTGGTAGGAAAATAACTTCTTATGACAAACAAATCTCCTTTCAGTGGGTTTTCATATTTTTCCATCCTTGCACTAAAATGCCTGCCACCCTCTGGTTTGCATGCACCACTTTTTACTCAAAGCAATCCGCTGACACCTCCAAGATTTCATTATATTTCCACAAAGCCATTTTGTAGCAGCGGGAGGCCCCAAGGAAGGGCACAGGGAATTTATCAAGTAGACTCAGACAGGGAGTTGAGTGGATCAAGAGTACAGCTTTTGCCCTGATTTTAGTAATGAAAAAGAATGAAGTTAATCAAGGTACAAAGAACCTGGCTTGCCTGTCCTCTCTAGCGAGAGGTCTACCTGAGTAAGATCCTATCATCCTTCCCTATGTGCTTCCTAGAAGGTGACCAAGACTCTCTCACGTGGCCTCGGGCTGCCTCAGCCCCTTCTTCACTGTCCTGTCCATCAGCCCTGCCCCTCCCAGCACTCACCTGCGCTCTTCCGCATTAAAACTTTTCTTAGTGCTTCTCAGTATGATCCAGTTTTCTCGGGTGTTCACATGTTCTTTTGCAAATGTCCTGTATTCAAGTCTACGTTACCCTTCACTCCTCCCTTCTGTGGCCCCCATTATCGAAAGCCTCGTGCCTTGTTCTG